GCTCCAAGAGGGGCTCGGCCCCAGACCCCGAGACCCCAAGACCCTTCCACCCCCCGCGTCAGCGCAGCCCCACGGCAGCCGGTGGCAGATGCTTACGCGCATCCCTGCTCGCTCGGGGGGAGCAGTGGCTCTGGGATGGGCGTCCCCAAGCCTCAACCCCCTCCATCCAACTGGGATGCCGTGACCTGCCGGTGTGGGAGGCAGGCACCAACGGGCACCCACTTCTGCGTGGCTGGGTGAGATGCAGCTGGTACCCAGCACAAACGGGGTCTGGGGTCCCCCATAAGCAAACACCCCTCTCTGTGAACCCGGCGGGGAGCACTCCTGGGGGCTGCCCAGTCTCATTACAAATCACAGCAATTAAAGGGCTGCTCCAGAGGAAAAACCCACTTTGCTTCTCTCTCTCGGGTCCTGGTTTGTGCCATGAGGAGAGGGTCCGGGGGAAATCTGCCCCCCGAGCTTTCTCCCACGTCCTTGCTCTTGGGGGGAAACAGCTCAGCCCAGCCCAGCCCCAGAGCTCAAGGAAAGACGGTTACAAAGCAGCAACAGTCAGCACACGAACAGAAAAGTGAAAAGAAAGGAAAGTACAGACACGGCATTTTAATGGGGCAACACAGACAGGGACAAATGAGAGGTGGGGGGGACACGCCGCAGTCGCCGGGGCCGGACCCTCGCCTCTGCCTGGCTGTGCTTCGGGTCCCCTTCCCATCGCCAGGGCTGCAGCCGGCTTTATTTCAGACAGGCATCAGGAACCCGAGTATAAACAGAAACAAATCAGGTCTTGTTGGCTGTTCGCTTTTAATAATGAGCAGGTGTAAAAAGAAGACCGAAATGAATTATTCGATGATATAAACTCCAACCCAGTGGTTCATGCCCCACTCCCGGCGCTTCGCATGTGCCTGATGTTCGGTGGGTCCTGCCAAACCCTTGCGGTCGCAGCCATGAGCCGTATCCAGCGCCCACGCTCCCCTGGGCACAGGCATCGAATCACTCTCTGGAGGGGGAATGGCTCACCCAGGCCACTTCACTGATGGGGAAACTGAGGCACAAGGAGGTTAAGGCCAACATTTCCAAGCGTGAGATGCTTCAAGCCTTATTTTCAGCAGTGCCGAGAAGCTGCAGATCCTGGTGACGTTCAGGAGGAGCTGGGGGCCCTCAGTGCTCCCCAAAGGGAGGCTAGAAGCATCCAAGCCAGAGTCCCAAATCTGCAGCCAGGGGCGAATACTGGGGCCAAAATGATTTGCTCGGGGATGCTCAGCATGCCCAGAGCGGGGCAGGACAGACCCCACACTGGGACCCAGGACAAGAGGCAGCCCTGACTCTGCAGGAGGGGCCTCTGCCCAGGAAAACTCACTGTTGCCACCAAACCAACAGGGTCCTCACAGCCAGCACAGAGCTTTTGAATACAGGCATAAAACTTTTTTCCTTTTTGCTCTTTTTTTTTTTTTCCTAATGTGCAAATATTTAACAAGGGGCGAGGGAGGATGAGGCATGGGGTTCCATCCCTGAGCCCTCCAGCAGCAGCGGCAGCAGGAGGGGGCTGCCAGTAATGGCAGGGACAGTAATGGCAGCACTGGCCTGGTGGACACTGAATTTTGGTATTTCTGGGGTCTGAAGCTCCCCCAAGCCAACACCGGTCCCTCACCCCAGCCGTGACGGGGGCCACATGCCCGCTGCCCTTGCAGGGCTGCCTCCTCGCTGAGACATCGGCGAGCGCTGATGGAGCTCGAAGCATGGCAGGTCGTCCGAAAATTAAAAGCCTTTCAGGGGAAAGTGTCAGAGCAAATGAGGTTTGCCTTTGCCTGGGAATTATGTCAAACATCAGAGGGTCCATCATTTATCAGCAGAAGCGATTACAGCAGTGTCACATTCATTGGGAACATCGATTGGCACCGGGAAGGGACCGGTCTGGCAGACGAGCGTTAGAGAAGTTGGAGGCGCTGCAAAGATCTACCCAAGAGAGCCGCATTTTGGCCACAAAGCATCAAGGAAAAGGAGTTTCCATGAGAGGGAGCGAGGTGACACCCTCCCGGAGCCCCCAGCAATGAAACACGGGCACTCCCAGGGGCAGGAACCGCAGAAGCAGCAGAAATATTGCACGTGGACTTGAGGTCAGTCTCCTTGGGGATGGGGAAGGGCATTTTTTTATGGGTATCGGAAAGTGCCACGAGCACACAGCCCCGAAACTGGGGAGCGGGGCTGCACAGCAAAGGACCAGTATCGCTTGGCTGGAGTCTGTCCCTGCCACGCTGGGAGGACTCAGACCCCGCTGGGGCACCGTCTTGTCTCCTGCATCGTGGGACACCTGTGAGAACGTCCTCTATGTCCCAATGTCACCTCCCACCGCCATGGGGACAGCCTCCTGGCTGGGCTTGGCTGCAGGAGCTGCAGACATCCCGACAGACAGCGAGGCGGAAAGATGCCACCACCACCAGCCGGACTGGGGATGGAGGGGTGAGCCCCCAGGGCGGTGGGAGAGCGGCACTGGGGTTGCTGGGCCAGGAACAAACCGTGTCGGAGCAGGAGGGGTGTGCACCCCGGCTGGCTTTAGGGGTCCCACAGGCATCTTGCACTTTGCTCCCGAGGAGATGCAAATCTCTCCTTCCCCAGGGCAGGGGCCAAGGCGGATGGAAACAGCTGCGGCAGCATCCAGGTAACGCTCGTCCTCCAGCGCGGATGCCAACTGGTGTCCCACGGTGTGTGTCCCGGCAGGGCTGAGCCCTGCTTGGGGACATCCCGGAGTGGTGGCGGGTGATGGAGAGGCCACACGGGCACCGCTGGCGGCTGGGGGGCCGTTTCTAAGCCCCACGCTCGGGTGTCTCCAGGCGTGTTTCCCCAGCCCTCCACCTCCCCCAGGGCAGATGCAAGCGGCTCCGCTTTGGGGCCATGCTCTCCATTTACAGCAAAACCTCCCAAGTCCTAAATGAGGAGCAAGGGGATAAGGAGACACCCCAAGCTGCACGTCTCCCAGCCTGGCATCCCCAAGGCAGAAGCTGCCACATCACCCCAGCCAGGATGTGGGGACGGAGCATGCCATCCCTGTGAGCATCCCCTCTGCTCCCCCAGCCCCACCGCACACGGGCTAATTCACAGCCACCTCCCTGGGGTGCAAACAGACCTTCCCCCAGTCTGTAAAAAATAAAATAGTAAAGGAATCTGCCTGAAAGCAAAACCCAACTCTTGGCTCCATTACTACTTCTCCACGCAGTGAGAAAATGAAAATAAAAGGAAATTAGGATGTTCTGGTACCCGGCGGTTTCCTCGCCCTGCCCAGCTAAGGGATGGAGTGGGCTCGGACCGCTCAGAGCCTGGGCTGAGTGAGCCGTGGCTGAGCTTGCGAAGGGAAGGGTGAGCAGAAAAATGCAGGAAACAGGGAAATGGGAAGAGGAAAAGAAGCTACAGCATCCCCTTAAAACAGCAACCAGCCCACGGAGCTCGGGACACGGGGGGTGGGAGGAGACGGGGGAAGGCAGATTTTTGGCTTCATTGTTATTGCAGGCTCCCAGTGCCCCGCAATAGTGTACGAGCATGTAAACCTTACAGATCATCACCTAGGTGGTCAGACACACACACGAGAGACTAAACACGGCAGCAACATTTACAACAAATAAATAAGGATATCGCTCATCGAGATAGGCATATAAAAAAAGCCTCACTTTTTTCCACCAAAGGGAAAAAAAAGATAAAAAAAAGAAAAAGCACAATACTGTCTCACGAAAAAAAAATAAAACAATAATATAATAATATATATCCCTAGTGAGCCAGGCTGGGCTGCCAGCGACATCGCAGGTGACGCCAGGACCGTGTTCCCAATCGCCGTCGGTGCCTCGGCTCCCCGGCCACCCCGCGCAGGCAGCACCCCAGGGTGCACGGCCCCCCAGTACCTTTGGGCTCCGTCTCCAGCCGGCCGGTTCCCAGGAGAGGACCACACCAGCACCGGTGCATCCGCAGTTCCATCCGAAAACATAGGAAAGGAGAGCAAAGAGGGCGAGGAGGCCGGGGTGGGGCTCTGCCTTCGGCGATGCTCGACCCGTTCCCCCGGCCTTGAAGTCTCGGGCGTTCGCTGCCGCTCAGACCGGGGTCTGTGGCGGGTTTTTTTTTGGAAAAAGCAGAAGTTGGCAAATGGCAGCGGCTGGTTCAGAGTGCGGAGAGGGAGAGTGAGCTCACGCTTCGAGGGCATCCTTTGCTCGCAGAACAGAAAGGAAGGCCGAGAGGGACAGGCAAGCTTCGCACGGCGGCGGTCGGATGGCACGGAAAGCATCTTCCCCCAGGCATCTGCAGGAGAGGGTGGGAGAAGGAAAATTGGGTGAGAAGGATGGGCAGAAAGCCCTGCAGCCATCTCACACCACACCAGCGCAGCTGGAAGGGCAAAGCTGGAAACACAGTAAAGATTTTGAAAGGCTCAAAACTCCAGCGGGGTTAAAAAAAATCCCCACGATCGGACACTGTCTGCGCTGCGATGACCAAAATCATCCCAAGAGACATCTCTGCATGGCCCTGCAGGGCACGGTGAGGCGCTCAGCCCAGCACCCCCAGGATGCTGCGAACCACAGCATCCCTGACACCGCCATGCCAAACCCTGCCAGCTCCAGGGCATAATGTAATAAGATCTAATATAAATAAAACAGTTAATAGAATATCTCGCCAGAGCATCCCCATGCCCCCAGCACACCAGCTGCCTCCCTGCCTCCTCTGCAGCCGCATCTGCAGGCGAGAGCGTGAGTTGTGCCGCAGGCAAACACCTGCCAGCAGGGCGGTTTGTACCGTGTCCTCATGGGCTGCGGTCCTGGGGTGCTCTGTGGGACGGGGGGGACCTGGGGGAAACCCATCGGTGTGGGGGCAGCATCTCCCCCCAGCTGGATTTGGGGGGAATGCCCATGCTTGGATGCTTCAGCAGACGAGAACCAGCCACCCGCCCCTGGGGAAGGTGGGAATGGCATCAGGTGGGTGGGAGATGGGGCCCCCCTGGGCCCCCCCAGGCCCCCCCGTGCTGCACTCACCGCCGCTCGGCCCCGGGACTATACGAGCCCGTCGTAGAGGGAGAGAGCTTGCACGATGGAGGGGTCGGCCTTGGAGCCCTCCTGAAATTCCTGCAGCGTCAGCTTCCCATCGGCATTCTGCAAAACACTCCCGTTGCAGCTCCGCTTCGCCCCAGTGAGGGAGATGCCAAGCACCCCGGGACTGAGCAACCCGGGACCAAGCACCCTGGGACCCCAGCAGCACCCACGCCATCCCACAGAGCTACCTGGGTCCCCCCCCACTGCCATAGCCTTGGTTTCCCCATCAAACCACCCACGCCTGCAGCCAGGGAGGAATGCCATGGAGGGTGCAATGCCATCTTGGGGGCCCTCAAATGGATACGGGGATCCCGGAGGGATGCGGGGGTCTACAGCGAGCCCAGCGGCAGCTGAGACCTTGTATTCACAGGGGAAGGAGGTACCTGCAAGAGCCGAGACGTGGCAAGGGGGCCCACAACTGCCTCCTAAATCCCTTGGCCCCAGGAAAAAAAACACTTGAGCATCCTCACCTTGTCCATCATGGCGAAAATCCGATCTACCCTCTTCTCCGGTGTGTTCTCCTCCTCGGGAAGCTCCACTGTGTTTCCCTGCGGCAGCAGGACAGGACCCGGTCACGCAGCCGTTCGTGCCCTGCCTGGACGGTGTCCCCAGGCGAGGACACACGTTTTGCCCCTGCCCACATCAGGACAGGGTGCAGAGGGCTGGCATTCGTGCCAGAGCCATCCTCAGCGGCCAGATCCAAACCCTGCCCCGGCCATGATGGCCACAACCCCCCCAAAAAAAGCCCAGGAAGAGAATCAGGGGTGTTTCAGCATCCTCTCCGCAGCCCCCCTGCCCGCAGAGCCGGGCTCCAGCCCAGCGGAGACCCCCAGGGACTGCTCGCCCCGTGCCCCCTGCCCCGCCACTTACCACCATCTGATAAATCGCATCCACAATGTCCAGCATCTCGTTCCTCGTGATGTACCCGTCGTTGTCCAAGTCGTACAGCTTAAACGCCCCTGCAAGCCAGAGCAATGCCAAGGTGCTGGGGACTGCAGTCCCCCCAAACTGGACACACACCCCATCGCCACCCCCGTGCCACCCCCCGCCCCCTTCACGGGGCTGAGCCCACCGGTGTCCCGCAAGGAGCACTTACACCTCAGCTTCTCGTCCAGGGTCCCCCGGGAGGTGACCGACAGTGCCTGGATGAACTCCGAAAACTCGATCCTCCCATCCTGGAGAGGGGGGAAAGAGGGGGTGAGGGTGCCGCTGCCACCCCCACCCCGCAAAGTCCTCCCTGCCCATGCTTGCCCGATGCCGGGTGCTCTTAGGGGGCACATCCGAAAAGGCAATGGGGAGGGAGAAGCGATGCACATTTATCTCCAGCAGCATGATCCGGCCGCTGTGCCCAGCCCACGGCGAGCATCCCGGCGGGAGCGACTCTGGAGCGTGGGGGGCGCCGCGCAGGTGGGCTTTTGTCAGCGACACCGAAACATCGCGTTTCTCCTCTCTCGCTTGCCACTTCATCGCCTTTTCCCACGTGACTCTCATCGACTAAAATAAGCACGGGGGCTCACTCGCTACAGCTGCGCCACTTTCATTTCACGCCCCAGGAACGTGCAGCCGCGTTACTGAACCCGTCCCACCATTGCCACGGACCCAGCCCCGACCCTCCCGGACCATGCCCTTGGCTTGCAGACTTACTTTGTTCTCGTCGAAGACATTGAAAACAAAAGTGGCGAATTTGGTTGGGTCGCCAAAGGGGAAGAACTGCTTATAGATCTTCTGAAAGCCAGCAGCATCGAGCTGCCCGCTGGGGCAGTCCTTGATAAAGCCCTTGTACCTGCGGAGGAAGGGCAGAGGATGGGCACCAGGCGGGTCTCCCCGCTGAATGCAGCCCCCCAAGCCCTGCGGAGCCAGGACGGGGCTCTCCCCAGTGCTGCGGTGGGCTGGAGCTGGGAAGGTCCCTGGTGCTCCCTGTGTTGCTCCCATCACCCGCCCGCAACCTCCCAGCCCCGTGGGACAAGGTCCCTGCGGGCACCGCAGTGAGGGTGGCAGCGGGGAGAGCCTAGAGAAGCAGCGAGCAGCACCGGTGACACCGAGCGGTGCCCACCACACTGCTCCAACCCCACTGCGAGCCCACAAGTGGCAACCGAGCCACAACCAGGCTCCTGTTGAACATTGTCCAGGACCTGGGAGGGGACAGGGACCCGCTGCCCGGCCAGGAGCACCCGGGAGAGTCTTTTAAACCTACTTTAAACTAAAAAGCCCTCTGCACAGTCACCTCCCGCCAGCACAGCCATGCTGCCTGCGGAGGTGCCGGGGCAGGCGATGCCTCGCTTGGCCCTGAAGCTGTCACAGGGCCAGCAGGAGAGTATTTCTATCCCTCGCTCAGAACTTCAAATGCACATGGCTCCTGAGCAAGAAGCTGCAAATGGAAAGCTTCACCCAAGGGCCAGAGCTCCCCTTCCCCTCCACCACTGTGGCATGGCCCCGCTACGTCAGGTGCATCCAAGCGTCTCTCCAGCACGGAGGCGGCCACGAAAGCTCGCCCTGAGTTGCTGCACCACCACAGGAGAGGGACTCACGATCGACAGCAACCCCACAGGCAATTTGCAACCCACCACTCGGCACACACATGCTGCAGCCATGCCCCGGTAAAAACGAACAGCACAGCGGCCTGAAGCACCCAGGGCAGCCGAGTCTCCGTGACGGCATTTTTTGCATGATCCCAAGTGAAAGCTGCTCGGAGGAGCTGGGGGGCACAGCAGGGTTACTGCATCCTTGGGGTGGCACAGCCCAGGGCATCTCCCAAAACCCATCAGCGCTTAAACACCTCCAAAGGCCTTGGTCCCAGCTCCGGGCTGGCCCTGGATACCACAAGGTGCCACCCTGGAGGGCGCAGGGGAAGGGGCTCGCCGGCTCCGTGGGTGCAGGGACCACGTGGGGACCATGCAGGGTGCGTGAGCATTATGCAACGCGTCGCCCAGATCTGTCAGGCGCCCGCTGCAGCGGGCCGAGGGCTGGAGGAGGAGGAGGGGAAGGGGGTGGCGAGGTGGGAAACCAAAGCGCCGGTGACATCTTTTTCACGCTGCTGCAGCTATGACTCATCGGGGAGCGGGGGGAAGGATGAGAGAAAGAGATAAAGAAAGCAAATCTTGACTGGTGGGATAGGAAGATGAAAGGGAAGCGGTGGCTTTTCTAGGGCGTCGCATTCAGTGGGGCGGAGGGGATGGGGTGAGAGCGTGCTGCCAGCAAGGCACCACACTCCCAGCCCCTGCCAGCCTCTGCGGGCCCCGCTGCAAACAGGGACACGCTGGGACAGCACCGGCCTCCCACAGCCAGGGTCACGGCCACCAGCTGGACAGTCCCCACGTCCCCGCTCCCCTCGGCTGCCCTTATGGGAAGGGAAGAGGCGAGACGGAGTGGGCACCATCCCACACGGGTGGCTGAGAGCAGCCGGAGCCAAGCCCCACCGTGTGCTGTGCATGAGGTGTGCAAGAGAAAACCCTCTATTTTCTCGTCTCCCCTCTATAAGCAAACACCTGCACCCCAAAACAGGCGCACCCTCCTGCACCCCCTTGCTCTGCACGGCTGGCAGGGTTGCTGAGTGCCACCAGCTCCTGCTGCCTCGCCCGCCAGCCCTGTGCCCCGGCAGCTCACCGCCATGCCGCTGCGCCGGACACTCACCACTGCTGCACCTCCTTCTCCGTAACTGCAAGAGAAAACAGGAGAAAAGAGAAAAAGAAAAGAAAAGAGAAAGGAATTTAGCGCTTTCCCAGTGACGGCTGCTCTTCTGCACCTCACCTAAGTGACTTCCCTGGGGGGATGCCCGCAGGCTCGCTCGCCCCGTGCGCTGCCGTGTGTTACCCACACGCAAGCGGCTGCCTGCGAGGCACAGCCTGGGCTAGCCCTGTGGCCGATGGGGCCGGGGCTGCAGGTGCTGGGGCCCCTCCAGCCCTGAAACCAGGGAGCCCACCAAGATGTTTTGCTCCCTGCCAGGGGAGTGCAGCACCATTGCTGCAAGATGCTATGGACCACACAGGGGCTGGGCTGATCCTGGGGAGGATCCAGCCCTGTCCTCCTGCTTCCCCAGAGCCAAAACATCCCTGGAAACATCTGCCAAAACATCTGCCGGGAGGCAGCCTGGGGAAGGCACCTGCCCGGCCCAACACCCACACACTGATCGTGAGCAAGAGGACAGCCCCAGGGCCAGCATCCCTCCAGGTACCGGCTGCCTCTGAGCCACAAGGAGAAACATCATCAAACCCATGCCGGGGCCCTGGGAAACTTTACCAGGCTCCAGAGAAACCCCAAAACCGTGACAAGCTAGAAAATGGCGAGCATTGGCAATCCCGAGTGTCCCCAGCCCGGGGACAGCTGCTGAGATCGCAAATGTCCTCAGCAGAGGAAAGGCTCCGATGGGATGCGGGATGCCGGGGAGCCCGACGGGGCGGGGGGCTGGTGCCTGTCCCTGCTGCAGGAGCGGTGCCTGGCCGGCACGCCAGCGGGGAGCTGGGTGCCAGCAGGCGGGCACGGGGGAACGGCCTCATTAGTCATTTCCTTTGCATTGTGCATCTAAATAATAATAAAAAAGCAATAGGTCTGAAACGTGCTGGGATAATGAGGCAGAGTGGAGATGTGTCAATGTGCAAACGGGTGATAAAAATAGAGACCCAAGACACATCAAGAGATGCCAATTACCTTGGATGGCAAATAAAAGAAAGCAATTTTCTATCAGAAAGATTTATAACGCGCCTGGCAGAAGGCGCAGGCCGCAGAAGGTGAGGGCTGGCAGGCGGCAGCAGTGGGGCGGCCGAGAGGGCACACGCTGGCCCCCACCTCGCAGCCGGCCGGGTGCTGGCTCCCGCATCCCCGTGGGCAGGAATCGCTGCATCCAAGGCTGTCCCTCTGTATAGGAGGGGTCCCTCTGTCCCAGCTCAGGGACCACTGGAGGGACAGAGCCTGCAAACCCCCCGGGAAGGGCTCGCCATGGGGTGGAGAGGCCGGCAGCCTCTCCCCCCGCCTCCCCAGGGAGCTGGAAAAGGGCTGCGGCGGG